ACATAGGGCCATAACCTGAGAGAATCGGGAAGCGCCAAGTGTCCAATTAGGATGGCTCAGGGGCCAACTATATATAGGCTGACTAAGTCGGGACGCTAAACCTAAACGGGATGGAATCCTGACAGGATTAAGGTTGCAGTTGATGGCAGAATGACTAATTAACCACGTGGGCTTGCGCGTCTCCGGTCAGTTTGGCCTCTTTTCCATCCCCTGAAGGCCAAGTGAGCTTTTCCTTCAAAGCAACTGCTAACCATGCCCCAAGCATGAATTCAGCGTCTGCTCGATGCCTCCTCCACCCGGCTCACCTCCCCCTATCCCTCCGCCCGTCCCCGTTGAGACTCACCCCAACCGAACAAGCAGCTTGAAGCCTCCACCGCAACACCGCGCCCTCCCAGACCCCACACGGCTCGCTCCAGAAGACGCATATTTCTCCTCTTCTCATCTCAGAGGTCGGGCTGCGAATGCAAATTATGATGACTCGCTCCGAGCGCTGAATGGCAACGCTGCTGCTTTGCGACCGCCGCCCGCGTTTCCGGGCGCGGACAGTCGAAAAGACCGGAAAGTGAGGGGGACGAGCAGACGGAGGAGACGAAAAGGCGCATGGAAGAAGTTACTCTGGGTGAAGCAGTCATGTAAGTCTTGCCCACAAAATTTCATGGGTTGTAAATCCGGTTGCCAGAATGCTGAAGAAGCTGACGGGGTATGGCTACAGATCCGGACAACTACACCGACACCGAAACCTTCCTTGACCATCTCCAGCGCAACCCGCGCGTGCGGCCCTACGACTTCTGGCCTCTAGTGGCTGACTCGACAGTGATTGTTCAGCATGTCTGCTCGGTGGCGATTTTCGTGTGCTGTTTTGTTGGCATTGTCCAGGAGAGAGTGAGCCCTGTTTCGGTCGTGTGCTGGGGCAGTGTTGGGACGGCCATGGGGTGGATTCTGTGGGACGCTTGGGTTTGGCGAGAGCATCATGCTGAACAGTCTCGGAATGCGGAGCGAATCGCGGACGGGGACGACGGTTCTAGTTCGAGCTCTGCAGCGAGCTCGGTCAATCCGTCGTTGGGGGCTGGGTCGCGACCGGTTGGTCCGAAGGATGGACAGAACGAGGTTCACGGGCTGGGATTGACCATGTCAAGCGGCGAACCTGGCGAATTGCTGCGGCGACGTAGTACGGGATTCAGTGGTGAGGCTTATGGCACCTCTGATCCTGGCTCGCCTGGTCCCCAGGCCAGTGGCGGCTTAAGCAATATGCATTTGTACCATGGCTCACTGGAGAGCGACGAGACTTCATTATTCTCGTCAAGGAACCGCCAACGGCTATCGACCGTCAAGTCGGCGTTCCTGATCTACTTTTCGCTGCTGGGGCTCAGCCCGATCCTGAAATCTCTTACCAAGTCTACCGCCAGTGACTCCATTTGGGCGATGAGTTGCTGGCTGTTGTTCATGAACATATTCTCCTTCGATTACGGAAGCGGGGAGGGCGCGGGCGCCACCAAGTTCCCGGCTTCGCTGTCCACTAATGCGGCTGTGATGGCATCGACTGTCCTCGCGTCTCGCCTGCCGTCTACAACCCATGTCTTCAGTCTGATGTTGTTCTCAATTGAAGTCTTTGGACTGTTCCCCATCTTCCGCCGGCAGCTACGGCACATCTCCTGGACGGGACATGTGTTCCTGACGCTGGCGCTGGTCATTGTGGCCGGAGGTGCGGTAGGGATGACTCTGCGCGGAGGATGGACCGCCGCGGTGGTCGGGTCGTTGTTAGGGAGTATTTTGACGGCTTTTGCCATGGGAGGATGTAGCTGGTGGCTCATCAGCCTCCAGAAGTACAAGAACGTGGTGACAGGGCCATGGGACCCAGCGCGGCCGATCATCCGGCGACAGTGGGATTAGCTCAATGCCGGACCGCGTGATTTGGGAACTGGCCTTGAGCGCGTGTCTATGATGCAATGTAATTCGTGATATTCTCATTTGAGCTTGACGTGGTGTTCCGGTCCCTGATACGATACCCTTTGGTGTTCTACTTGATATTTATTTAGTAACTAATACTGTGCAAGGACCATAATCTCCTGCCAGGCTGCACAAGCCAGTTCTCTTAGAGTACATCAACTCAACAATAATTTATAATGTCTCGTGGGTCAGTGTTCAGCGCACTGTTCCTGCGTCTTGCGCGTCGAATACCAACCCCAGGAATGTACGGCTGTCCAGCATGCCAAAGGCCGCGTATTGAGGAGAATCCCGCCTGGACAACAATGGAAGCAACAAAATCAGGATTCGACCTTCAGCAGCATTTTTGCTTCAAAGGGGGGCTGAAAGATGATTGATTTGATCGCTTTGGGGCGGGATCGTCTCATCGTCGTGCTGCTTAGCTGTATGCTTCACCTTTCTGAGTTTGGCATCCGATTTTTCTATTGAGAGAGCATATTTGAAACACTTGCATTGGGGCCGGAAATGACCATGGCTATGAGGCATTCTGACTTCTCCACTGTATCATGCTGGGGCTGGGAATGTTTATTATGTTTCTGGCTCTGTTCAGTTACTGATGGGGCGAAGTTGCTGTGAAGGGGCCGTTTGTCTGTTAGCTACAGGGTATAACTAGCTCTGACGAGTTGTGAATCGCTTTCTTTTCTTTGGTATTTCACTCGGAGGGTCTTTGCCAGGGTTGGCACAACTCAGGCTGCTTTGTTCATATTCAGTCTGCTCGGTGGGCTGCTGCTTGTCTTTCTTCCTTTTCTGACACTCTTTTCATCAAGCACCTTCGTCTCGATTCGCTCAACGCAAGATGCTCAAATTCCTTCTGTTCAGCCTGATGGCTGTCCAGGCCGCGCTGGGCTTGAGATTTGCCATGTATATCGATCAGTAAGAGGCCTACCTAGACTTCCTGCACGCAGCCCAGGAACAGATTGACGCGATGAGCTGACAATTTAGGTACCACACTGTTGATCTCCCAGGTAGCGACCAGACCCAAGGCATTACACACGCTATCATGGCTTTCGCCCCGTCGAAGCAGTTCAACTCCGACTCCTCGTTCACTCCCTTTGAGCCTGTCGAGACCATGCGTAAGCGCTTCGGACCCGACACCAAGGTCATGATCGCCATTGGTGGATGGGGCGATACCGCTGGCTTCTCCGACGGGGCCAAAGATGAAGCCTCTCGAACCCGGTACGCGAAGAACGTTGCGACGATGATCAACAATCTGGGCTTTGACGGTGTTGGTAAGTTGGGATGCAGAGGCACCCCCGGTTGTCAAACATGCAGTGCTCACGCTAGCGGATGGAATAGATATCGACTGGGAATACCCCGGCGGCAACGGCGACGACTACAAGAAAGTCCCCAACTCGCAGAAAACCGGCGAGATCGAGACGTATCCGCTTTTCCTGCAGGCGATCCGCGACGCCATTGGCAAGGACAAGGTCCTGTCCATTGCAGTCCCCGGCAAACGCGGCGACATGATCGCCTTCACAGCGGAGCAAGGACCCAAGATCTGGCCGTCAGTCGACATGGTCAACGTCATGTCGTATGACTTGATGAACCGCCGCGACAACGTGACGAACCACCACAGCAGCGTGGCCGGCTCCCTGGATACCATCAAGGCGTACGAGGAGATCGGTCTCGACACGGCCAAGATGAATCTGGGATTCGCGTACTATGCCAAGTGGTTCATGACCGATCCGAACAGCGACTGTGCTGAGCACCCGATTGGATGCGCCGTCGTGACGCTGGAGAACCCTGATGGATCGGACGCGGGCACATCTGGCGTCTTGACCTTCGAGAAGAGCACCATGGCCGCTCCCCCGGATAATCTGCGGACGTCCACAGATGGAACCTGCGGCTATGCCAAGGGGACCAAGTGTCCGGCTGGTTCGTGCTGCAGTCAGTATGGAAACTGGTATGTTCTCTCCTCTACATCAACTCTACTCTGACCTCTCTGGGCCCGGCTAATTCGAACAGCGGCACCGGCAACGACTTTTGCCAGGCAGGCTGTCTCTCCGACTACGGCGAGTGCAAGGGCATATCCATTACCGATTCCTGGCGCCGCGCGCTCAAGGACGGCAAGACGGATGAGCAGGCTGGGGGACAGTACTACTGGGACAGCACGGTCAATGTCTTCTGGACCTGGGACACCCCTGCGCTGATCGATCGCAAGTTCAAGGACATTGTGGCGGCGGAGAAGCTGGGTGGTGTCATGGCCTGGAGTCTGGGGGAGGATACTCTGAACTGGGAGCATCTGAAGGCGATGCAGAAGGGGTTGTAGACCGATAGCCATTCATCACCCTGCTCGGTAGTCGGTACTTATACAGGTACAGGCTACAGCCATGTTCAGGGCTTAATACCTCGGAATATTTATCGCGCGTTAAATCGACCGTCGTCACGTAGTATCTAGTCGTACCTATGTTCTGAAGCAGGAAAAGGGTTGATAGTGATACGTACCTAGACTTCAGAGTTGACCAATCCGGTTGCGGGATGCAGCACGGGGTCGCTGTGGTGGCCGCCATTTCATCCGCAAACATCAGTACTCCTCATATCATATCATATCAATTTAAGCAGACGTTGACCTCAAGGAAAGCAGAATGAAGCATATACATCTCTCTCTGCAACAATGAAACTCGTCTACCTCCTCCTCCCGCTGAGCCTGGGCCTGGGGCTGCCAACCACCATTCCCGCCGACGGGGCGAAACTGGAAGTATACCAGCTCCAACACCCTGAATACCAACAACAGCAACAATCCATCCTCCCACAAGACCAACCAGACCAAGACCAACCCAGCCTCCACGGCTCATTCATCAACCTCAACCTCCGCACGCTCAAGCCCAATCATCTCCACCACCACCATCCCACCAACAACACCAACACCAACCAACCCACCGACAAAATCCTCCAAGCATACCTCCACACCCTCCACACCTCCCACCTCTGCACCCAGACCCTCTCGCAACACGCCCCCGAACTCATCGCCATAGCCCTCTTCTCCCTCCTCCCCCTCACCCTCTGCCTCCTGGCCCTCGCAGAGCGCATCGCCCGCTCCTGCACCGTAGAGGCGTATCCCGAGCGCGGGCGGCAGCAGCGCCGGTTTCTCGGCCGGGAGCGGCAGTGTCTGATGCAGGCGAGGCGGGAGCGGGAGAAGAGGGCGGTGCTTGAAAGGGGGTGGTGGATCGCGGAGCGTGGGCGTTGATGGATTCGACTAATTTGTTTGGATTTGATCTTGGATTTGCGATCCTGAGTGCAGGACTGGTCCCGGGATGGAAAGATGCATGCATGATGCGTCTTGGCTCTTGTCGTCTCTATACAGCATTGCGGGAATGTGGTAGGATACGGCACCTTTAACCGGGTGTCGACTTGAAAAGCCGCATGGTTTGGTGATCGGTGGTTCGTGGATCGAACCAACCGAGGATACAGGATGCGCTGGTACCATCTTGATTATCCCGCTCGGAGTCTGGGTTAATGAGACCTGATACAAAGGACGGAGTATCAGACGACGAACTTAATGTACAGTTTATCCTATGTATAATACATGTCTAGATAATATAGCCCTGGGGTACAGTTAAACCCGGCATAACCGACCATTCTGATCTGGCAGCCCATCCTCAGTCTCCACAGTCCAATCCTCGCTGCCTACAGCCGTAGGGGCATAGAACAAGCCGAACGGATCATACCGCTGCTTCAGCTTATACAGACGCGCATAGTTCTCGCCGTAGAACGCCTGCTGGAAGTTCGGCTCGAGGATATCCGCCTCGGACATGTAGGCGCCTGCGTCAGGGCAGGTCTCTCGCCATGAGCCCAGCACGTCGTTGGTGAAGGAGTTCATGGTATCCAGGATCTCAGCGTTGGTGGCATTGCTGGCCCAGCTGGTCGAGGTGATGGCGTGCAGGAGGGTGTTGCGGAAGGCCGGGTTCGCCGAGCTGGCCGGGTAGCCGGCCGGCAGCTCAGCCTTGAGGTTGAAGGCGAGCAAGGGGTATCCGGCCTCGATGGTGGACTTGAGGGCTTCAAAGGTGGTGTTCAGGAGAGTGGCGTTCTCCCAGTTTGCACGGGGGAAGAGCCGCGAGCCGGTCATCATCGTCGACGAGGCGACCGTCTCCAGCGGGAAGCCGGCCTGCCAGGCGTCGTAGAAGTTGTCGTAGTAGGTCGAATTGGGGGAATAGGTGATACCGAGCTCCTCGAGCTGGTCGTACCAGGGCTGCATGAGAGCGTTGAATTCCGCGACGGTGTGGTTGACGGCGAAGTAGGGGTTCATCAGGAACGTGAACGAGGCGGTGCCCGTGGCCATGACCCAGAAGTAGGCGTAGGTGCCTGCGTCGGCGTTGACGGCGAACCGGTCAAAGTAGGCGCGCACGCCGGCCCAGAAGGCGTCGACGGAGACGTTGGTGCCTGTCGAGAAGGAACCGGTCGACACCGTCACGCCGACCTTGGGGTGGACGCGCGAAATGATCGAGGTGACCACACCATAGGTGCCTACCACATTAGTGTGGGGAATACTTCAGAGACGGAAACAAAACATACCTCCACCACCTCCCCGCAAAGCCCAGAACAGGTCGGGATCAGTCTCCTCGGTCACGGTGACGAAGCGACCATTGGCCAGAACCACCTCGAGGGCCAGGACTTGGTCCGCAGCCAAGCCGTAGATGCTGGACATGGGGGAGTGACCACCACCGAGGACGAAACCACCGGCCACGCCAACAGTCTATCATTCCGTCAGTGACGAGTCACAGGGAGCCTCGGACGAGCTTACCTTGCCCTCACCACCAACGGTGGTGAACCCGAGTTCCTTAGCCTTGCCATAAATCTCAAACGCCTGGACACCGGCACCCATCTTGACAGCGGGACCGCTGTAGCGAGAGCTTCTGTAGTTCTCAAGGTACTCAATATCCTTGAGGTTGTGGGTCCAGATGCCCAGGGCACCGGCACCGGTGGACTTGCCGTTGAAGTCGTGGCCGGTGTTCTTGACGACCAGACGGATGCCGGTGTTGCGGGCAAAGTTGACAGCCAGCTGGATCTGAGCCACATTGCTCACATTGACCGCGTAGCTGCTGTAACCACCGACGGTGCAGTTGCCAGAGGGGTCGTCGGTAGGCAGACAGGTTCTACCCTCGTACAGTGGCCACATGATCGATGCGGGATCGGCAGCACTACCCAATTAGCCGGGAATCCTCCTTGTGAAAGGACGGAACTTACTGTATGTACGAGTTGGTCCAGTTGGAGGTCACAGCCTCACATTCCGCCGCATCGTACTCGGGCCACGAGGAGTAGCAAGAAGCGGCCAGAGGGACAGTCTTGACCAGTGCACCGCCCAGAAGCAGGTCAAACAGCTCCCAGGTCCATTTGGACGGCCAGAAGATATCACCTGGGAAGACCTTGCAGGACTTGAAACCGCGAGCGGTCAGATTGGCCGAGGCAGAACCGTTGTTGCCAAACGCAAAGAGCTGGGTCTGGTTCTGAATAGTAGTGCTGAGGTTGGCAAGCACCGCGTCCGTCAGCTGCAGAGTCTCTGCGGGGAAGAGAGAAGCACCCGCAGCCGTCGAGTTGGAGGATACGGACTGAACAGCAACAAGAGTGGCATTGGATTCGGCTGTGCAGGAGTTGCAGAGGGCAAGACCCGCAAGGAGGATGGCCTTGGGCGAGAACCGCTGACGGGGAGCCATCTTTTAAAGTGAAAATGGATGGATGATCAGCAACGGCGGATCAAGTCAGGGATGTAAGGACTGGTATTTAAGGATGAAGATGATGCTCAGCCATTCGGCAAAGTAGTTCTGACTCCATCCGGACGAACTCTGCATGGAGTATGGCGTGCCAACCGTCACTATGGGTGGACTTGGACGAGGAAGAACCCGGTCAGCAATAGTGTGCAGCATGGCTGGACTAATCACAGCAATTGACCAGTAAGATTAATAGCCCGAGTCAGGTTTTTCGTTCCTGACAGACAGCTGGGATCTAGATTAGTTAGTAGAAGTCGAGAAGAGATGAAAATGTCCCCGGCTCCTGCGGAGTCCTGCTGATGGCAATGCACCGCGAGGCCACGAGGCAAAGCTTGGATGGTCCACTTGCAACATTTAGTTGACTAGTTAATTACTCCGTAGTTGAGATAAGTATCACAGTGTGATGATACATTATGATTATTAGCATGCCTGAGATTGGAAGATTCGGCTATTTCGGAGAAACCCTGAATAATCCCTCAACTGGAGAGATTCCACTGTAGTCTCAGTCGCAACGGAAGACAGCCGAGATATTGAACCAAAGAACCTGATCAAATTATCTTTGGAGCACTCTGTGAATTAGATACCATCTGCCTGCAGAATTAAGAATCTACTACTCAACTGAACCACATAAACATTCATTGCTGACCGTGGGTTAATCGACGCCATCTACGGCGGAATTGCCGGAACCTCAAGCCACAACCTAAGCGACAGTATACTACTCTTATTGTTCACTATTACTGAGAACTATCAATCCTAACGGTGACATGGTTTGATGTGGTTGAGAACTACGGACATTTCTTCATCCACAGAGTATCATCCACAGAGTATCCAGGCAGTAGGGTGAGAAGCTGAATCGTATGATTATTCTTCGCAGATTGGCCCTATTTCATAGAGTCCCACAATCATAGACCAAGCCACTAAATATCCAAGCGGACGTTTAGCCAAATAATCCCCGTCGTTAGACCGTCAGATAAATAGAAAGTTAGCAACTTGCAATTTGCAAATATAGCCCCTCCTGTCCTGCATAGAAGATACACTAACGGCAATGCTTCGGAGCAAATGATCTAAAGGGGATAGACTCATACCAGATTCTGCCATGTATTGCAGAACTCGTCATGATTATAGTGCATTGTGCCAGAAGGATAAGATCACTCCGTTGAGAGAGTTACTCCATACCGTCCATATCGTAGAGTATAGATCACAGAGAGATCAAAGGCATGAGATGAGGATGTTGATCGCTGCCAATCTTTCGATCAACTCCAGTGATCATCGATCTGGATGGTCCGAGTGTACTTCTTCCCTGGTTACCTAAGACCATAAAGAGATCATTATGAGCGAGGGAATAATACCTGATTTGCAGCTTCTCCTAGAACCCAACGACAAGCGGAGACTCGAAATGAGACCACACAAGATGCGGGAAATTGCATGATGAAGAGTCCCACCAGCAACAATAAACGCCTCATTTCTTGTCTTACCTCGGCTTTTGCTAGAATACTAGATGATAACTGCCGTTCCTTTGCCCAATAAGTCCAAGCATACATCGCAGGAAGCCAGGTCCTATTCCCGTGTGGGCCACAGGCATCATTTTCCACACCGATGATCAAAGACATCGCTCCATCCCCTTCCTCGCCGATGTGGACCAGGGCTATGCTTGGACAAACTCAGTCTATCGAGTATCGCTTGGGCCCATTCGAACGGAGAACGCGTACTCCGTAATAGTCTAGTTTTAACTTCCAGCGGCTGCACTGACTCGGAGGGTACTCCATAATCTGTATGCACGAATAGCACCAGGACTTCTCCTCACGCTTCTAGAACCCGGCCGTAACGGAGATTCATCCAAATTTCTGGAAATCGGGATTGACCCTTTCCGGATTGCTGGTTCAACTGCAGACGCCTCGTGGCTTTAGTGCATTCCCCAAGGCGGCAAGAGGAAGAGAAAACGCACAGAAAATATATGGCCGTTGAGCCAATCCAGATTCCAGGTTGATTCTTGTGGAGGTGGTGGAACCCGAGGGCCCTAGTCTTGAAGTTAACGGTTTGAGCCTGAACGCGAGATGAGACTTGGGATGGGGGCGAAGATTGTTTCTGTGGACTGTGTCGAGAGGGACTGGACTTTCATCCACTGAGTACTACCTCATTCACTTCCTCTATTTCCCTCAAACCTTGTCGTTTTGCTGAGATGAAGTACGATGACAGTCGATGACAGTCATCAGAGGACTGCGCTGGGGGTGGTTATCGCTTTTCCGGTGCTAGGGGGCGTTGCGATTATCCTGCGGTACTGGAGTCGCTTTCTGTCGCGAACTTCTTTTGCGGGTGGTGAGTGATGTGATAATTTGCGATGGATACTTGACTGACAACTGCTTCGACCAATAGATGATCTATTCATCACCGCTGGATACGTATGTTGTCACTGCTGTTGATGGCTGAGGCTGTACTGACGTGGATTCGGTCAGGTTCTCGCCGTAGTGCAGTCAGTCACCTCCTGGTTCTGTAAGTGTTTGACCACTTTTTAACCTCAGTAGTGCTGTCAACTAACACATCTCTCTGTTAGACATCAAAACCAACTACGTTGGTATCCACAGCTGGGATATCCCTGCAGACCGAGACGTCAAGAAAGGATTGATTGTAAGTCCTTCAGACGAAGATATCAACAAAAAGCAGGCACTCACTTCTGTAGTGGAACTTTGTCAACCAGCTCGTCTACAACCCCTGTCTCACCCTGATCAAAATCTCCATCCTCCTCTTCCTCCGTCGGCTGGACTCCAAGTCGCGCGTTGTCAACGGCCTCATCTGGGCAACTCTCGGCATCACCATCGGTCTGTTCCTCGCCGTCCTCTTCGTCGATATCTTCCAGTGCAGCCCAATCGCATATGTGTATGACACCTCCATCGAGGGAGGCACCTGCATCGACCAGGGAGCCTTCTATGTTACTACCGCAGCGCTCAACCTCTTCACCGACGTGCTCGTCCTCTCCGTTCCTATCATCATCACCTGGTCACTGCAGATGCCTGTACGGCGCAAGATCGCCGTCTGCATCATCCTCTGCTTTGGTGGCGTGTAAGGACCTGAAAGTATCTTCCCAGCTAAAAGAACGTTATCTAACTGCAGCAGGGCGACCGCCATCGGCATTTGGCGCATCATTATCCTCGCCCAAGCCTTCTTTCCCACGCACGTCAACACCGACCCAACCTGGGACATCGGCTTCTGCAGCTCCGCGATCGAAGTCAATGTCGCCGTCATGGCCGCATGCGCCCCATCCACCAAAGCCATTCTCGGCAAATACCTCCCCCGCCTTCTAGGCACCTCCAAGGGCGCCTCGTCCAAGTACGGAGCCACAAACAGCTGGAGCCGTCGGTTCCAGTCAGGAGTAGGCTACTCTCGGACCAAGTCCGCCCGCGGCGCGGACGACGGGTTCGAGCTGGCGGATCCGTACCAGGTCAAGATGGACGTCATCTCGGCGGACCGCGAGATGCGCAATTATACCAGACACGGCGAGAGTCCCAGTCTTAGCAGCGACGAGGGAGTAGCGGGGATTGTGCAGACGATTGACGTGTCGGTGCGGTATAACACACGGGAAGAAGAGAACTCGGTATCGCACTCGCGCGAGGGTAAAACTGGAAGTATTGACAGTCTTGTCTAAATTCTCCTTTGTCGATGTACATATTAAAAGAAAATGCTATACTAGAATATCTGCATGATATAACGGCTATAACGGCGACACAAAATCCTACAACCGAGTTACCGACGATGGAGTGCGGGGTCAATGATTTGCTGTTCGAGATAAAGTCGCACAGAGCCCCTCATTGCGGATCTTTTCAACTCACCTCCTTTTGACATCAAATAGGCAAGGATATCAAAATGGCCAAGGAGTATCAGTTGCCATTCAAGGTATGCGGCACTACCAGATGAACCGCTTACGCTGGCTAACTTCCTTCAGCTTGAAGATCCCAGTCTTCTACATTTCGACTCCTTTGTCGGAGACAAATGGGTTCAGGCCCAAAGTGGGAAACGATTCGAAGTCGTGGGTAGGGACTACTACTTTCCTCTGATTGAAACCTACGCTAATATCAGTATAGACCCCGGCACTGACACACCCTGGGCCAGCTGTCCCGCCAATGGCGTGGAAGACGTGAATCCCGCCGTCGAGGCCGCCCACAAGGCGTTCGAAACCTACAAGAAGACCAACCCCCGGCAGCGCGCCCAATGGCTCATGAAATGGGACGCTCTCATCCGGGTCGCGCGGTCCGACCTCGCCCAGATCCTCACCCACGAGACGGGGAAGCCCCTCGCCGAATCGTACGGGGAGATCGACTACGCCACGGGCTTCACCTGGTGGTTCGCCGGTGAGGCGGAGCGCATCCACGGCACGGTCAGCGTACCCTCGGCGCCCAACCGTCGTGTCTTCACGGTCAAGCAGCCCATCGGCGTGGCCGCCGCTTTGGTCCCCTGGAACTTCCCCATCGCCATGGTCCTGCGCAAAGCAGGCGCCGCCTTCGCCGCCGGCTGCACGATGATCGTCAAACCTAGCCCGGAGACTCCCATCACGGCGCTCGTGCTGGCGCACCTAGCGCAACGCGCGGGTTTTCCGGCAGGCGTGTTCAATGTGCTGACCACCGACTTGGAAAACACGCCGCCGCTCAGCGAGGCGCTCTGCAAGCACCCGCTCGTCAAGAAGGTGACCTTTACGGGATCCACGCGTGTCGGCAAGCTGATCGCTGCGCACTGCGCCGAGGGGTTGAAGAAGGTGACTCTCGAGCTGGGCGGGAACTGCCCCTTCATCGTGTTCGACGATGCGAACCTCGACCAGGCGCTGGACCAGCTGATGGCGCTGAAATGGCGGCATGCGGGTCAGGCGTGCATCACAGCCAACCGTGTGTACGTACAGGCGGGGATCTACGACAAATTCGCACAGATGCTCAAGGAACGCACGGAGAAGTTGGTCGTCGGCCACGGCGCGCACGAGAGCACCACCATGGGCCCCGTCACGACGCCGCGGGGCGTGGATAAGGCGCTGGCGCAGGTCGAGGATGCGCGCCGATTGGGGGCAGACGTGATCCTCGGCGGCAGACCGGTCCCCGGGCAGAAAGGGTACTTCTTCCAGCCGACCATCCTGACGGGGATGAGGGAGGAGATGCTCGTGTCGCGCGAGGAGACGTTTGCGCCCGTTGCGGCGCTGTACCGGTTTGAGACGGAGGAGGAGGCGGTGCGCATGGCCAACCAGACGAGCATGGGACTGGCCAGCTACGCGTTCACCAAGAATATCGACCGTATGTGGCGGATGTTGGAGAATCTCGAGGCGGGCATGATTGGCATGAACACGGGTAATGCGTCGGCGGCGGAGTCGCCGTTTGGTGGCATCAAGGAGTCGGGATATGGCAAGGAGAGTGGGAAAGAGGTGGCTGTCAACGAGTATCTTATCACGAAGACGGGAACTCTGACAATTGAGGGGCAGTACTAGTAGTTTGTTGTTGTTGTTGAAAATTGGGTCAACTGGCGATCTCGCCGGATGCCGTCCGTTCCATGTGATAATCGGTAAAGAATCAACTCCAGCAAAGTACAATCCAAACGATAGGAATGATAATAAAGATGACGATATGCTATCTTGATCTTCTCCAACAGAGCTGTCGCTTAAAGACTTGTTGTGTAACCAGTCAGTCACTAAGGCGTGAACCGACCAGATCCGGGCTGCTCGTGGAAGATTCCGCTTCGCGTATTCTAAACGAGCGAAGGACGGAGTAGTCATAATCTTCACGGACCCCTCTTTCATATGATGCTTATTATCGGATAGCTCTCCAGGGCCAAGGGATCTTTTGATAGATGCAAACCGCTATTATTACCTGCAGCGATCTCTCCACAATGGCCGAACATAATACATAATAATCCTCCGCGGCCGGTCGCATCGTCGAGTCTTCCTGTTTGAGAGTCTGAGACGACAGATCGTCTGGATGTCCTGTTCAATGCATGGGAATTGGAATCATAGCCTCCCACCTACAGTTACTATAGACTATCTTAGACTATCTACACGAGATGCGAGACTTGCACGACAGACTCCGCTACAACGTGATCGCGAATTGCCTAATCGAGTAAGCATCTGCTCTCTCTCAGAGTCTTGGGGCGTCTGTAGCCTTGACCTCGTCTTATTCGGATCGCTATTATTAAATTGACAAGAATCCCCTGTTCTACTTTATTCATCCTTCTTGGTTATTTCTACCTGTCTTTTGACTTTATTCCTACCTTGTTGTCTTGTTGTCACCCTTTCCATGACGCATTAGCCTTGATTATTTGGTTGGACTATATAGACGAGGTGGACTTCTCTCTTCATTTTCCTTTCCTTTCCTTCTTCTGCTCTCATAATGGAGATCGATACCCTCGACTCCCTGCGACACCTCATCCAATGCCACCCTCTCATCGATAATCACGCGCACAACATCCTCGACAAGGCCTCAGCCTGCAACTACGCCAAATATCCCTTTGAGCAGATCACCTCTGAAGCTCAAGGGATAGCGCTACATAATGCCACCTCTACACTGCCTCTTCACCGGGCGGCCTCCGAGCTTGCTGTCCTATACGGCTGCCCCTCGTCCGACTGGGAGCAAGTCAAGGCGGCCCGGCAGGAATGGGTGGAGCGCGACTACGACGGCTTGATCCGCCAGTGCCTGCAAGGGACCCATACCTTGCTTCTGGACGACCTCCTGACTGACCAGGACATCGAGCCGTACCAATGGCACGATCAATTCACCGTGTCCGCGACCAAGCGCATTGTGCGGATTGAGGCGCTGGCGGCGCGGATGCTGGCGACCGTGATGCGTGCTGAGACGGGGGATGTCTCTGTCCTCGAGAATCGGTTCCAGGCGTTCCGCGATGGCTTTCACAGGATGATCTCCGAGGCTATCGCAGACCCCGCCGTGGTGGGGTTCAAATCGGTCATCTGTTACCGGACCGGGTTAAACGTCCAGCCAACCGATGAAGACGCTGGCGTTTTGTTGCAGTCCTTTGCTCGTACCATCCACTCCTCAAAGTCCGGGTATCGGGTCGAGGACAAGCCCCTAAACGATTGGCTTGTCCGTCAGACCCTCGACCTGCTCCAAGCCGCCAGATCCGGCAGCAAAGATTGTAAAAACAAGCCGTTGCAGCTCCATACTGGTCTCGGAGATAACGACATCAGTCTGGTGCTGGCCAACCCGGCCTACTTGCAACCGCTGATTGCGCGGTATCCCAACGTCGACTTTGTGCTGCTGCACTCCTCGTATCCGTACACGCGTGAAGCGGGCTATCTGGCCTGCGTCTATCCCAATGTGTATCTCGATCTTGGGGAGGTCTTCCCCATGGTCAGTCGGGATGCGCAGGAGTCCATCATTCGGGACAGTCTGGATATTGTCCCGACCAAGCGACTACTCTGGAGTACGGACGGCCACTTTTTCCCAGAAACGTTCTACCTAGGCAATAAGCAGTTCCGCAATGTATTAGAAAAGGTGTGTGTCCGTCTTTGCCTGTATGGTATAATCGCAGCTCTGATTGTCGCAGGTTTTTGTAGACTACATCCGTCAAGGAGACTGGACAGTCACACAAGCAAAGGAAGCAGCGGCGGACATACTCTTTCACAACTCCAACCGTCTCTACGACCTGAACGAGCAGCTGTCCTTCGAGCCAGTATCCAAGCAAACCACCATCGCCTCCACTGACGCTCTGGACACGTTCATGCGGTGTAATCCTGAGGTCAAATACGTATGGATGCAATGGGTCGACTACACCGCAACGACCCGCCTCCGTATCTTTCCCGTTCCCGAATTCGCCAAGATCGTGCGCAAACAGCGTCGCATTGGAATCAGTCTCTGCGTCTTCTGGATGCTGCAGGACGACTCCATGACCCCTGAAGGCACGACAACCGGGCAATTCTACATGGAACCCGACCTGACGAGCCTCAGCCCCAACGTCGGACTCGACTCCAAAAGCGCCACCGTCATGACCTTCTGGCGATCCGAGGACAATACCCCCCTCGAGGGCTGTCCGCGGACCGCACTCCAAAACATCGTCGAAAAACTGCACACCGACCACGGCATCACCATCACCTGCGGCTTCGAGATCGAAGTCGTCTTCCTCCGCCCTGTCACCGACCCCTCCACCGGCGAAACCCGGTACCTCCCCGCGCTAACCAACCACTCCTGGTCCCAGATGACCAGCGACACGCGCCGCATGCTGCCCCTCCTCGAAGAGATCGCCGACACCCTGGCGGCCATCGGCATCCCCCTCGAGCAATTCCACTCCGAGTCCGCCCCGGGCCAATTCGAGTTCGTCCTCCCGCGCAACAGCCCCTTACCCGCCGTCGACACCCTCCTCAAAGCCCGCCAGGTCGTCACCCACATCGCCGAGCGCCACGGCCTCCGCGCAACCCTCCACCCGCGACCCCTCCCCCACGCCGCAGGCACAGCCTCCCACGCGCACGTCTCCATCTCCCCCCCTTCAAA